CTACATATGAACTACTGAAATTACAGTGTCAGATGTTAGTTGTCCAAATGGTAGAAAAAAATAGATTTGAACCAAGCTTTTTCCCTTGAGGACAGAAACTGGGCTCCAGTTGCTTGGAGAAAAGCGCAAACAACGCTTGTTAAAACTTGGTTACTGTTTGGGTTGATTAAAACTGGCCATGTTTGGGTGAATTTGGATATTTTAGTTCAGTATTTTTTTTCTTCCTTCGTTCCTTCCTAAAATAATATACTGGAGTGGCCTACACTGGTTACATTTGTATCCCGAAGCTTCATTTATCTTCTCATAGCAAAATTAAAGTGCATGGCAACAAGGAATTTCATTTTTTTCTCTCTGTTGTAATGATTCATTATCGTTTAATAGACATGCCTAATATTTACATTTTGGTTTACTATTCTTTTATAAAATTCACGTTTCTTCCTCGTCATTTTCACCTTTTTTAAAAAAAGTCTTTCTAATTTAGATGTGCAAATTATATGCAGGATTTTGCCTGTGGCTGCTTAAGATTCCCGGAGGCAGAAGGCTTATTTAAACAAATATTTGCCCTCTACTCTCCTGATTAGTGCCTCCTGACATTTCCTGGCTGAGAATGGGAATTCACCTCATACACTTTTACTTCAATCGACTGTGCATCAGATTTCCCTTTGCTTCTGAATATTTTCTCCTCTTTCCATGATTTATCCATCTGCCATTTTCATTTTGTTTTATATTAAGTATTGTGGTTATAGTATGTGATTTTCTTTAATTTTTCACGTAATCTTTCATCAGCAGTACCATTAGATCATGCAGAATCTGGTACAAGATCAGTTTGCCTACCTACTATAGATCCTGATTTGATTAAAAATCGGATAATGTTAAGCTAACAAAACAGTTTTTGTGATTCAAGTCCAACACTGTGAACAGTGAGAAAGAAAAAGAATAAGATTGAAAGCTTATCTTGAGCAGCATCTTAATTTTTTTTCACCATAACAACAAATAAGATGCTAAGGGATACTTGTTTTGTACTGTCGTAGTGTTGTGCCAGGGAACTACTGGTGTGAAAGTGAGTTGATCCTTAGCTTCCTGAAATTGGGCTTGGAAGCATCTAGTTCCTTTTTTAAATTGCAGGTAGATTTGAGTGAAGAAGGTCCTTTTATCCATTTGATGTTGTTCTTCTAGAATAGAAATGGCCAACTTGCAGGCTACATTGTGCATGTGGAAAAGTCACATGTGCAACGAGTTGGCCACCCCTGTTCTAGAATATCATGTCAGCACTGAGCTGTTTTTTAAATGTGTACCACATCCTAGCATCTACTTAGGCTGTTCCCAGGTTAAAAATTATGTGTAATTAGTTATAATTATTTCATACCAGTTACAGCCATCAAATTGTACTGCGTAGTGAATGGGGAGAATTTTCTCAGGGAGAGAAATGTTGAAGAATAAGTGATTTATTTTTCTGTAGTTTAATGTGTGTAACATGAAAATTGTGAATGTTTATATCGTGAGATCCTGTGCAGAACACAAGATTAGATGAATCTGGGTATGTGACGAATGCAATTCATTACCCCAATTCCCAGGTAACAAAAGGTAGTTAAGTCTTCCTTTCAGTGAGTTTTGACTTAAACTTTCTCTTTCTGCTGTGCCTTGACAATGTGACAAACTCGAGAAGTAATGAAAGCAAAAAGAAAATTGGAACATCATGTCCAGATAAAATCAAACAGGAAAGGTTTAGAGAAGGTTTCAAATAGCTGTGAAAGGTGGAATGTCAAGTATGAGGAAGGCTTGAACAATGGTTCACCAATACACGTTATAGTCGGAATTAGCCTTCTATTGCACTTGGTTTCCTTTCTCGCTATAACATTCATAAGGGTTTCCTATACGTAATGCTGTTCTTCAGCTGAGAGTGTGTGCAGATTATCCTCTGTCTGCCCTATTAACATCTGCTGGAAGGTGCACCAGAGAGCAGTTACGTGGCCTTCCCCCCTACTGATGTGGAAGTGTCATGCCTCTACTCTGTCATTTTTTCTGTCATTCTCACCGAGAATAAAAACTTCCAATATGCAAAACTGGTTCATTCTATTGTTCTTCCGTTGTCAATAGAGGCTCTTTTCAGGGCACATAGCATATTGTTGAGTGTTTCTTAAACTCCAAAACTCTGTAGACAATTAACTTATGAAATGGAACCAAGTTTGGAGCTGGTAAATACTAGCTAGAATTATATATTGAGGTAAGGATTTGGAGGGTGCAAGAAAGTATTGCTACAATGTGAATGCAGCATTCAATGTGGGCATAAGTTAAAGCAGAAGAGCATTACTGGTGTGTTGAGAACTTGCTTCATTATATTCTGGTCTCATTACAACTATTAAACGGTAGGAATGCATCTGGATACATTTCAAACGGAATAATAAATAATATGAATTGCACATGGAACATTTGTGGATAGAAAATAAATTTCTACATGCATACCAATTATTCAAGCTTAGCTACACAGATACCGTGGTCCAGCTGGAGTTACTGAATCGTATGATATGATTTGCTGATATCTCTGTCTAGTTGGATTACTGTGCTCTGCAGGAAATAAAAAAATACCAGGATGACAAACAGAATGAAAATCAATTATTTTACTAAATTGGTCAGCAGATTTTTTCTGCAAGAAGGACTTCAAATAAGCAATTGTCTGTTGCATACTGTTTGATCTTAGCAATGGTGTGATGAACAGTCTTGTGAACCAGAATGTCTTGAAGATTTCATTTCCTCTTTCTCCCCTCCATTTTGTACCCTTGAAGGTCATTCATTGCCACAGATTCTTCTCCACCTGGGATAGCGTGAATGGCTGGAATCTGAACTCTGTAACAGCTGTCAGAGCCTTTCTGTGATCAACCAGCAGGAGGGACAATTCAAGTTTAGTGTGAGGCAGATGGGGGTTGCTTTATGCAAGGTGCTAAAAATAGAAATCTTTTCACTGTGTCTTTAATGGGAAATTGCTATTTCTGGCAATTGGCTTAAGTTTTGCCCAAGTGTCTTCTTCTTACCCACCTCTCACAAATAAACCTACTGCAAACGCACAAGGGTACTCTGTTCTACTTGGAACTCCATCTAGCGGCGTTGCTCAGAACTCATGAAACTTGCTTGACTGAGGATGGCGAGTTGCCGAGGAGAGGTTAGAAAAAATGTTTTCACTTAGCGAGTTGTTCGCACTTGGAATGATCTGCCTGAAGGGGTAGTGAAGTCCAATTCGATAACAGCTTTTAAGAGAGAACTGGATAGGTATCTGGGGAAGATGGGTTTGCAGGGTTATGGGGAGAAAGCTAGTGATTGGGGTTAGTGAAAGTGACTTACTCTGTCAAGGAGCCGGCACAGACTCGATGGGCCGAATGGCCTCCTTCTGTGCCGTAACATTCTATGAATCTATGCAAATGTTTTTTTTGGGTCCATTGGATCTGACACATGTAGAAATCCATCACCATGCTTAAAAAAATCAAAACCAGACAGAATTCCACATATGCCTGCCACCTTCGGATCAATGTTTGTCTGTGTTAGGAATGGAGTCCACACACTCTCTCTGGTGGGATGTACTGTGCTTAATATTTGGAAAAGTATTAGGTACAAGTTTGAGAAAGACAGGTTTAGGGACCTCCAAGTGTGCATTGAGTACTGCTGTAGTTCAGCCAGTTAAAACAATTTTAACTGGTAGGCCAGCAAAACACATTTTCTTGATTGAATATTTCTTGATCTCTGCCATAAAATCAAGAAATATTCAATCAAGAAAAAAAATTGAAAACATACTAACGATTGAACATGGACTTACCTACACTCATGTAAATGGTGCCACCAAACTGTTAGGGCTTTGGCTTGCAGGGAAGAGCTGAGTTGGAAACATTTCTGCTCCCAGACTGTCCTTAAGTCTTCCCAATGAGCCAGGCTGGTTGGTCTATTGTAGTACTGCAGTACCCCTCCCTGGTCTGAGGAACTGGTCAACCCAAGCCACTACAGAGGGTCTCGACTTGATTCTGACATTCTGTAGCCAAAGCATTTCACCTTGGAGGCAACCCAGCTCCATGGAGACACTGCTTACTCCTTCATTACAGTAATTGCATACATTACTAGGTTTAATCATTTTTATAGATAGAATATTTTTTGTGAAAAAATAGAATAAAGTAACTGCTCCAGATGCAAATCTTACTCATGTCAAATTTATTAAAGCTTGATATTCAGTCTTTGCTCCAATAATAACACTACCATAGCACGAAAACCAACATTAGAGGGGATCTGTTACATTTATTACATTTATAAAACTTTTATTTTTAACATGAAAGTAGTAAAAAAAAATCTGTTCCATGTAGGGACTTGTATTGGACTGTGTTGATTCTTTGCTTTCTGTTTTCTATATGCTTTCTATATACAGCTATTTTTTTAAAAACAAAATTAAAAATTAAGCAAATTACCGGAGGTTCTTGACAGCAGCTAAAGGAACAAAATGAGTGCTGATATTGTGAAAATCTTTGAAGTGTGCTTCTAAGATCAAAGTTAAGCATCGGTTTAATAAGAGTTGATAGGCTATTAAGTAATTGTACAGGATGTATGCAGGAATGTTGCTTGTTAAAAATTCACTTAAATAAGTAATTTCAGTTTTCTACTTAATTGGAAGTTTTTGTTACAGTAGTAGCTAACAGACCCAGCATATTGAGCACTAATTACTATTTTTGATGCTTTACAAAGCCTTTAATATTAAGTTTAAAATGTTCACAGTTTATAATAAGGAAAACCAAAATTAAACAATCTTTTGCGTGTCACCTTAATATCAATAAAATACAGCAGAAAAATATCTGCTCCATAGAGATTTGTAACATGATGGCTTAATGGAGGTGCAAGATCTAGTCTTGAACTTTCTGTAATTTTTTTGCAGTTTTGACAGTTGGGTTACGGATTAAAATTGTCTTTAGTTTGCTTTACCTTCACAGTATCATTAACTTTAGTTTTTTTTTCTTATTTTGTTCTTGCAGGCAAAAGTTCATCGAAGAAGCCACTGAAGCATCCTTAGTAAAGAACAGAGCGTAAAGAACTGGGGACACATGAGGGCACGTGTGATATACAACTTTGACTACAGGCATAATTAATCTATTTGTTTTTGAAGATGTTGGTACACTAAAATGAAGTTTTATTCAACTCTTGAAATCATTTAAGTATTTTTTAAATGAAATTCATTCCAGCTAGTTAGTTTATTAACACTTCACAAAATTCAGTGTCATGGAATGAAGTGGACTGGGCCATCCTTAGTTAAGTATGGTTGCTTGTCTCTTCAATGGATATGAGTGATAAAAAACTAGTACACGAAGAACAACTTCATTCCAGTGGTGCTTCAGGAGGGCCTCCAGAGTCTGACAGAAGTATGCAGTCAGATGACTTCTTTACTAGAAAATATAAAGTCATCAATGGTAACATGGGACCACCTTGCATGCCCTGCAAACCTGACGGCAGCAGCCAGGCTAATGGAACACCTGCCATGCCAAAAATGGGCGTGAGAGCAAGAATCTCTGAATGGCCTCCAAAGAAAGAATGTACTAAGGAAGGAGCTAGCAGTAATAAAATGGTGTGGGACAGCAGGTCATTAGCCAATTATGATAACTTGGCTGCAATGCGAGCTCACCAGAATGGACAAAATGACCAAAGCATGGAGGCTCTGTCTGAGGAAAATGTCGAAGGCATTGAAGACTTGGAATTTGAAGATACGAGGTACATTTTAGAGGACCTCTTTAGCAGGTCCCCACACAGAGGGCTTCATCCTATAAGACAGAGGAGCAACAGCGATGTTACAATTAGTGACATTGATTCAGAAGATGTTCTTGATCAGAATGCAGTAAACCCAAACACAGGCGCCTCTCTTCACCGGGAATATGGAAGCACTTCCTCAATTGACCGACAGGGTATAACCGGTGATAGTTTCTTTGCCATGCTTCGGGGATATAGGAATGAAAACGTGGAACAGAGGAGTCCTGGACCACTTGGTCTTAGTGACTTGTTGCGATGTGATCCTGGAATGTCTCCCAGCCTGCAAGCAGCGACTCACATTTCTAGAGCTGAAATTGTCCGGATTTCTGGTTTTGACTATGTGGATAATCCACTTTTCTTTTACAAAGATAGAGATAAATCATTCAAGAGAAGGTTGAAACCTGGAACAATTGAAGCATCTCTTTTCAGAAAACTGAGAAATGCAAGAAGTGAACATGAAGCTTTGAGGTTTTCCTTCGACCAGGAAGAGAATCGACTGGAGAAATGCATTCAGTTATGGACGTGCCACAAATGTTTGGCACATTATGACGTCCAGAGCATTTTGTTTAATGTCAGTGAGGCAATGGCAAATAGGGCAAATGTGGGACAAAGAAAAAACACAACAACAGGTGCATCGGCAGCTTCACAACATGCAATCCCGGGAGGCTATTCAGCAAATTGTGAGTCTCCAACAGGTAGTAAGGAGGACCTGAACTCAAAGGAGAACTTGGATGCTGATGAGGGAGATGGAAAAAGCAACAACTTAGTTTTGACCTGCTCCTACTTCAGGAATGAGATTGGAGGGGAAGGAGAAAGACGTATTGCACTTTCCAGGGCGAACTCCTGCTCATTTACTTGCAGTGAAAGTTGTTCATTTGAGTCCTCACTCAGCTCTCACTGCACTAATGCAGGTGTGTCAGTATTAGAGGTGCCAAGAGAAAACCAGGCAATTCACCGAGAGAAAGTGAAGAGATACATCATAGAACATATTGATCTTGGAGCATACTATTACCGGAAATATTTCTACGGGAAAGGTATGACTGCTAGACTTTCTAATGTGTTTTAATTGCTGCTTCCTAAATTGTTGCTTCTTAATTCTTAAATTGTTCATTCTACTTATACTATTCAAGTTAACAACCAACTTATTCTGCAGAAACTTTCTACAATTATAGCATGTTGCCTTTTGTCTGTCTAGCAGACTGAGGGCAGGGTGTTGGTTGTCATTTTCGTAATGAGAGAATGAAATTAAGGCAAAATCTCAAGGGGGGGAGGGTGGAATTCCACCAAGGTCTAGTTTTGCTCTATTTTCTTAGCATTTCAGAACATGCTGAATGTGGCATTTTCTTAAATGCAGGCTTAATTTTGAAGCCGTAGATTTTTTATGACCGTACCGAAAAACAGAATCAACATTAAGGCAGAATTTTTAAAATTGCCAAATTCTACCTACTATGAAGTGCTAAGAAAATAGTGTAACTTTACACCCTATAGAATTTCTTCCCCAGGTCTTTTTTAGACTGCAGTAAATGTAAGAAATATGGAAATGTAGTCATAGTTTTCTCAGCTTTCCACTGGCTTTCATAAAACTTCCCAGTGATGGGTCAAATTGAACTTTATTTTCTCAGATGATGAGTTTTCGTACTGGGCCTAATGTATATTTGATTATTTCACTGAAATGGCATGAACTTTACTCAAGGGATTATATTTGGTTTGTTAGATTTTTTTTTCGCTGTGTGATTGAACACTGCTCTTTATCTGTTCTCTTTTTCTATCCATCCTCCCTGAGGCTCTGATCCTCATCACAGTGAGGAATAAGAATTGGTAGTGTCTAGCTTGTATGGATGTTTGCAATCGCTGTTTAATATGTGTTACTGCTAGTGTGATTTTGTTCACAGTAAGTGATAGCAGCTGGTCTCAGGCAAAAGGACATTTTCAAGGATATTGTACTGTGCAGAATTTTAACTTGCCCATTGCAGGCGGTATCTAGTTTAATGGCAAAACACACTGACAAACGGTGGTGAATCTTCTTCACCAAGTCCAGCGCCACAGCAATTGCGTATTGGAAAATAAAAGTATTGAAACCACTTCTCACATAATTATATGAATTCTACTTACTAATTGAAGTCACACAGGAGTCTATAGGCCAGCAGTGAACATTATGTCAACTGCCAGCTTTTGCGGAAGGAAGTCTGAAATGCAATAAAAATGCAAATGCAAAATCAGTACAGGTTTAGTTGGATGATGACATTGTTAATGAATTCAAAAACAGTAAAATGTGAGATGATACAATGTAAAATCATTGAAAGTGTAAACAATAACTCGTAACATGGTCATCAGTTGCTAGGAAATAATTATAAGTTCTAAGATTGCCATTATCTATATGTCGCAGTAATAAAGCTCGCGTTTGTCACCCAAATTGGAGAATCAAATTCTATTGTTTCAGGGTCCAGAACATGTTTCTTTAAAACTGACCTCCACTGTAATCTGGTAGTTGGGAGCCAACTCCATAGTACATTATAATTCAAGTTATTGTAAATGAGTGCAAGAAGTCTAAGGGTGTGGATTAGCGCTAACAACTTTGAATACTGTACCACTGGTAGTATTTCTACTCCACGCCCACTCTGCCTTCCCCCACCTACTCAACTTTGCCCGGCTCCACCACTACCTCACCCTTCAGGCCGCCGAACCTCTCATTCACAAGTTCATAACATCTAAGCTCGACTATGTCAATGCTCTGCTTGTTGGTCTTACCAACTCTTCCCTCCTCAAACCGCAGATCATCCAGAACCCAAATATGTGTCTTCTCCCACACCAGGCTTCATGACCTCATCATCCCCACCCTCGCCCACTTCACAGGCTCCCCATCCCCCAGAGGATAAAGTTCAAAATCCTCGCCTTCGAGGCCCTCCGGCCTTGCTCCTACATATCTCTGTGACTGGCTAAACCTGTATCAATATGGCCTGCTCCACGTTCCCCGCCTGGCCCATTCCACTATCGGCAGTCGGGCCTTCAGCCTCTCTGCCCCCACCTTTAGCACTCCATCCCACATTCCCTTAACCTTGCTCCCTCCCTTGCCTCCTTCAAGGCACTTCTCAAGACCCTCCTGTTTGACCGTACCCTCCCTGCCCTCCACCCTCCCTGATCCCACCTCCCTGCTTGGGTTCAAACCCCTGCCTGTCCAGCACCTTGGGACCTCCTCCCGACATAAAAGGCGCTACACAAAATGTAATTTTATATTGTATTCATTTAAAACGATTCAACTTCTATTTCCATAATAAGTTTCAATTGGATTGTAGTTCAGTGTTCTGTTGTTTTTCTAGTCTATTTGGTCAGCTCTGCATTAAATAGCCTGTTCACATGTGGATTAGTTAAGTTATCTTACCATTTTAACCCTTGATTGATTGGAATATGTTTCTGATGATTGCCACTTGAAAGATTTGACCTTGTGATTTTGGCAATGTTGAGAATCTGAGCTTTTCGAAGGCTTCACAACCAGTCTTTGATGCTAAAATGGAAAAATAGGAATAGGGAGTAAAATTAAGAAAGAATAAAAGAAAAATGTTCCATTTACGAATTTTATTAAATAATAATAATCCTTGCATTTGATAATAAAAAAAATAATAAAACTTGCCCAAGGTTTCACCCTGCCGGGAATTTATATAAATCTATATAAATGTAAAGAAGTTAAAATGTGTTGAATTAATGGTTCATTAGCTGGTTGAATTGAAAGCTGAGTCTTCAATAACAAGCAGAGATGATAATAAATGGGAAAAGTTCTGAATGTGGAAAATGACCAGCAGAGTTCTGCAAGGATGTTCTGGGTCTTCTGCTGTTCACACTATTCATGAATTGGTTTGAGGAGAATCATATTTCTGGTAATATAAAACGCACTGATACCAAACTATGTGGCCAAGTGAATAATACTGTATTAGGAAGATAATTACTAATTCAAGAAGATCTGGAACAATTAAGCAGATGGGGCAAGGAATGGCAGATGGGATTTTAATGCAGATAAAGTTTAAGCAAATGCATATTGGAACAAAAAACAAATGTGTGTACACAGTGAAAGGAAGCACATTACCAAAGGTGAAAAAGGATTTGGGTGTGATTGATTCACTGAAGGCTTCTAGTAATATGAAACTGCTATCAACAAAAGTAATTACATACTGGTTATCTTGAGCCAAATAAGTTACTCTATGAATCACTAGAGACACCATCTTTGAAATATGGAAGAAGTCTCTTTAAATAACCGTATCTTAATATATATTTTCTTATGGCCTTGGAAATTTTCACAGGTTCAACAGTCTTCAATTCATAGACACCATTTATATCCAATTGTAAGATTTAAGGAAAATGTGTTGTTCAAATGTAAAGTGTAAATGGGCTTGTGAGTAGCTTTTAAAATGAATTTGCCTACGTACTGTATTAAGAATGCACATTGTTAATTTATTGTATTTCTTTTAATTACAATATTTACAGTACATCTATTCGAGAAAATGATTTTGAGTTAGCTCATCCTAGTCTAATATATTTGAATATCTAAATTATTTATAATCAGTCCTGAGTGTCGAAACTACTGTAACACCTGAATTATAGAAAGAAGTCAACTGCAAAAAGTATCCTTTCAATAGTGAATTTTTTTAACGATAGACAAAGTTACAATATCCCAAAATTGCAAAATATTTTATTGTATAGTTAGTAACAAAGTAACTTGTTAAACTTTTCTTCCTAATGCCATCATTATTGGGTACTTCTTCCCCAGAGATCAGGTTAATAAGGCTGGCTGCACTAATGTAGCTGATTCCTAGCACATCACTCCTGAGTTTGTTCTTTGTCCACAGTCTTGCATTGCTCCAGCTGCGCGTGCTAGGAAGAAGGTATTGTCATTTTCCCGAGTGGTGGGGGTGTTCGGTGGGAGTTGGTGGAGGGTGTGAATGTGTGAAAGAAGCATTCAAAGCTTCCAGTTGGATAGGATTAGGCACCTATTAATGCTTAGACTTGTATAGCAACTGATATTGTACCAGCGCTGTCATATTATGAAATCAGTTTTGAGAAACGTTAACATTAACGGAATTGAACCGGACTGAAAGCTGTGCTGGGCTTGCCTCATCACGAGCTTGGCTTTGTAAATAGGGTATTAAGTGCCTGTCAGAATATTGAACTGAAAGATACAAAGTGTGCTCTGGCTTCTGGTAAGATGGAAACTCTGAGCTACTGAATGCAAGTCAGAAAGAAAGCCTTGTAAAATTGATCAAATTGTGGTTGCACTTTCTAAAAATGTCCATAAAGGTCCCTATGTATTTGTCCAATGTACATAATATAGTCAATTCATCGATAAAAGATTTTATTTTCATTAAACGCATCTGCTAATGAATTTCCTGAGTATTGGAACAGACAGTAGAGTACTTTCATTAGTATTAATGAAATTCATGGTGTCTGCCAAAGATGAAAAGTTTCTTGTGTTGCGACTCCATCCTGCTTATAGCTGTCAGTGCCCTGAAAGATGGGTCTGTAAATGAAATGACTGCTATGAACCCTGAGGATTTTAAAATTATTCAGTTTGATTAAGTTTGCAGGATTTAAATTAAGAAGGGAGCAATTGCTTGTTAATTCTCAGTGATGCACTGATCCAAACTCCTTACTTGACTAGCATAGTATGAGACAGCTTCCTTCAAAGCAAGTTTCAAAGCCTGTAGAACAACTCTATCATTGTGTAGTCTGACCATTAACCAACCAAGCAGATACAGTTGGTATTGGCAGGTTGATGTTGCTGGTATTACCCATGAAGTGAGGCATATAATCCTCTTCCTATGTAAAGATAACAAAAATGTGGCAGAGGTAAAGGAGAATGTTGGATGTGTTTCTGAACATTTTCAAACACTTCTTTAAGCTGAAGGTTTGATTTATCCAATTTCTATGGGAAATAAGTCTAATATAGTGTTATTGCCAATCACTTAGAGAATAATTGCAGAAAAAAGTGTGTGTCTGTAGAAAGGAAAGAAGTTGCAAAATAGCACCAGAGTCTGATAATTATATATATTTATACTAAATCCAACTCTGAGGGGATTCTGTGAGTGTAGCTGCTGGTGACTGAATGGACATTCTGTACAGCAGTAAATACTTCCACTGTGTGTGTGGTTGGTTCATAGTCAAAAAGAGTTGGATTTTGTGCATGAAACAGGAACTGCCAAATTACAGTACTTATATACTGGGATTTGACAGAGTATAAACCAATATCAGTTACAAAATTTAGTTTGGCCTCTTCCTGAGAAAGCCACCAGTTTATTGATGTGATTAATCTTTATTCAGTTACTTATGCACTCAATACTCTCTTTACAACCCACTTTTCCCATAGAGCATCAGAACTACTTTGGAACTGATGAAAACCTGGGACCTGTAGCGGTGAGCATCCGCAGAGAGAAGCTAGATGAATCAAAGGACAAGGATGGACTGCAGTACAACTACCGTATAGCTTTCAGGACCAGTGAGGTGAATTATTTTAACACTGTATTTTTGTTAGTTTGTTGAAAAGCAGGTTTTCTACAAACTGCACATTGCCAGAGGTGCTACACTTATTATGGACCAGAATTCCAGTCCTCAAATATATCCTTTATTCCTTGATTGTTTCAAAGCACCTAAGCGACTTAGTCTTTCTCTATGGAACAGGCTCCCGAGGGAGATGGTTAAAGCAGGAAATATTGATTCTTTCGAACGCAGATTAGATAGTTTTCTTTGAGGAAATAACATTATGGGATACAGTACATAGATAATTCTGGACATATGTGCATGCAACCGACAGGAAGGCGAACTAGATGGAGCTTGGTCTTTTTTGTCCAGCATTCTTATGTTCCTGGCATTCTTATGTACACAACAATTTGACTGTCATCAAGTTGAATTTCTCAATTTTCCTAACGTGTGAACATCAGGAGAGTTTTGAGTCCAATTGTGGTACCACCTGCTTCCAGAACACTTTTTCCTATGCATTTCTCTTCACAGGCTCAATTTTTATCTTGCATGCCAAATGGGATGTTGCGGTAGTCTATTTACGTAGTCTCCTAAAAATTTCTGCTTGGCTCATTATTGCCTTGTCACATCCTTCTGAAAGGAAAACCTTGATGTACTTGAGATCTTCTTTGGTGAGAAAATCACTCTAGCATCAGCTATAATTTCCTCTTAGCCTCCACTTTTTAAGTGACACTGATCGCAGAACTTATTTCCCTGGATAGATGGGGAACACCGATTAGTCATCAGAAATATTCCAGGATCAGATTAACTAGGGGAGCAACCAGCATATACATTTCCTAGCAGTATTCTTGGTGAAATGTTTCAATATAGTCTGCAGGGCAAAACCCAAGTGTCTGTCCAGAAACACTTCTTACAAGAACCCACAGTTCAGTGAATAAGCTGATTGTAACCTTTTATTCTTCCGTTTCATTCCTTTCTGCCCAGTGACTGCATAATATTCCACAGGCAAATGGCACATAGCAATGTTCCACAAACAGCCGTGAAATAAATGACTAATTTTATCTGAGGAGTTGTTGGCCAGAACATCAGGAGAAATTCCCTTTTTTTCAAATAGTGCTCTGGAATCTTTAATGTCTACCTGTTCACGCAGCACTCTTATTGTGTGAGTGTGTATGTGTACATACAATATAATTTAAAATACTACTGTCTGGCTCAGTGCTGCCCACTGAGCCAGGCTGACGTCCATTGATGGCCCAAACGGCAATTGTAAACAGCAAATTGACAGGGTACAAGCTGAAAAGAATGAGGAGGAAATGGAGGAAGCAAAAAAAATGTAGAAGTTTGCCAGAAATAAAACCCTAAGGACAAAATCTTTTGGGTGGAAAATTAAGAAAATCGAAAAACGGAAAAAGAGCAGCTGGAGTGCATTGCTCCCAGTCCAGGTGTGCTAATACCCTGGCCCAATGTGGTCTGCATTACCAGCGTTCCTTAGTTACTGTGGTGGATTAAAATTAATTTATTAGTCTGTAAAAAGTTCAACAAAATGTTCTTTGTTGGCCATTCACCTTTATCATTGAAATTAAATGCACATGCGTAGTTATCCTGTTTCATACATTGTGTGATGTTGTTTGTCATAATGAATAAAGCAATTAAGTCAAAAAAAATTAAGCTTGTTTTCATAGATTGTTAAACATAAAATTGGTCAATCAAGCAGGTAACAATGTAATATAAATTTTCTAAGTGAAGTTTTGTTGGCTTAATTTCCCACAGTGTGGTGAAGCATGCCATTTTAATGTTTGTATAATTACAAAGGTATTTGATTATTTACTCTCCTTTCTGCTTCCGTTTTCAGCTTTCCACTCTGAGAGGAGCAGTCCTGGAAGATGCTGTGCCGTCCACAGCCCGACATGGCACAGCTCGTGGTTTGCCAGTGAAGGAGGTGCTGGAGTATGTGATACCTGAGGTGAACATCCAGTGCCTTAGGGTGGCTTCAAATTCACCCAAAGTTTCAGAACAGTTGCTGAAGCTTGATGAACAAGGGGTAAGTGGGACAATGTAATACATATATATAGGATTATACTGGTTAGCTTTGTGTTGCAATTTTCGATTGGCTTGTGATATTTACCAGTGGGTTTAAATGTTTATTGAAATGGATGAGTGAATTGCTCCTGTGCAGTTACATTATGTTGACGTGCAGTGCCTTATAATATTAGGACAAGATTCTGAAATTGGCTATTCTGCCAGCATCCTTCCTTCAGTGAGAGAATATTGCATGATGGATGAGTGATGATCTGGAAAGGTCTTATTTAAGGGAAAAATACTATTCCATCGATCTGTTAGATATTTCCAGCAAGGTTCTCATATTTTACCCGAAAACATTTGGGGCATGCAAAAGCAAATGATTAGAAAAAAGTAAGCTACCTGCTCATTTACTAAGAGGGAGATGTTTTAATTTTCTCTAAATGTCAAGCAGCATAAGTAATCTGTAAATTTATGATAGCTTTTATTTAACAGAATTACTCAGGAAGTACCCTTGAAAAGTGCCAGAATTGCTCAATAAATTATTTGTTCAGACCAAACTGAGTTGTAGTTTTAAAACCTATAGCAATGACTGTTTGCTGGTTTATTGTTTTATAAAATGTTTCAAAATGAAACATGTTAACAAAACAAGATTAGTAAAAATAAAACCAAATGCAATTACATTTTTGACATTTGCACAATGTTAATTTACAAAAACATGACTTGTTTCAAGTTTTTGATTTTAGCCAAACACAGTAAAAAAAATTGTTTAATAATGGTAATTAAATATCCAATAGTAACTAGTCTGATTCACGTATCCATGTTAATGTTAAGGTCTTGCATCAAACATGATCTTTACACAGCTCTTTTTGAATGAAGGGCCTATTATCTGTATCATGTGCTATCCAGTCTTCACACAATGAAAGACATTGTGTTGTGTAAGTAGCCATCTAAGGGAAATATCGATTGCAAATTAAGATCATCAGAAAGTGTTAGAAATGTTTCAGTTGAAATTAGTGAAATTCTTTTTCCGATTTGATTAAGTTTAATGTTTTTTGTGAAGTTTGTACTCATCAAGCTGCAGAATATTATCATTTGGAACACAATGGGAGTGGTCTTTGTTTGTGTATAAATATATCAACCGCTAGCTGGGCGAACACATCTTATCCCTGTTGATTAATGTCAGAGTTTGGTGGCCTGAGCTAATAATGGGAAGATCCCATTGTAAAGTCATGATAACAAATTAAACATGCTTGTCAACCAAAGTTTGTAACCCTTCAGAGGACAAGAGAATCACCACTCAAGTGTCAACTGATCAATACACTGCCAAAACCACCTCCTTAAAGGTTATCTTGACAGGGAAATTTCAGCTAATTCAACAACAAATCACACTCCGCAAATCCAATTTATACTGAAAACCTAATTATCATAAGAACATAAACATTTGCTAGGCACAAGAAGATTGAGGTCCATCCAGTTTGCCTTCCACCATCCTGCAGTCATATGACATGTTGTATTCCAAACTATATTTTGTGTTATATTCTATAATTATTATGAAAAGTGCAATTTAAACAGAGAAGAGAAATCTGCCATGTCACTATCAAGTGCTCCAAGATTAGTTAGATGCACATGTGGATATAGTTTTGAACAGAAGATTGCCTAATTGTAGGAATTGATAATCAATCTGTAAAGTGAATTTACTATGTGGCGGTGGTTGCACATCTAGAGTTCAAATCCATCTATTACATTAAAGAGGGATGGTAGGCTGTGAGTTCATGCGCATGTACCGGATTATCTCTCCCAAGATTGTGGATCTTGTACAGCAGAAGATGGTACCAAAGGCAAGGTTAGGAACCACTCAACAGAAAAGGATAACTGGATGCAGGTTCAAGGTGGTTAGGTTGGGGTTCCACAGTTAATTGCAGATTTTTATTTTCTGTTTATATTGTAATTTTCATGGTAATCAGGTTTTCAGTATAAATTGGATTCGAGGAATGTGATTTGCTGTTGATTCAGTTGGAGTTTGCCTTTCAAGAAAACCTTTGAGGAGGTTATGGCAGCATATTGATTTGTGCTATTTCAATATAAATCCTGCAGATCGAAATTACAGTATTTGGGCTCTGCTCAGTAATGGGCCATCCAAAAACTTTTAAAAGAACATTTGTAATGATTTGTTTTTAAATGGTCATTCTGTTGCTGTTTGTGGGACATTGCTGTGTGCAAATTGGCTGTCACATTTGCCCCCAAAACACACAGTAACTGCACTTTTCAGTATCTTCTGTGAAACACTTTGGGACATCCTCCAAAGTGAAAGGTGCTATTCCAAATGTAAGAATTATTTTTATAATAAAAAGCCAGTAATGTACTCAGATCCTCAACAATATTGAAGAATTAACCTCTGATATTAGAATCTGAACATTCAAGTTTTGCAATTGAAACCTCTCCTGCCTCTCTAACAATGTGATTGGGAGTGGGAAGGATAAATCAGCTCCTAGTCGTAATCATTTACTGCTGGAGGCAATGGCTGCTTTGATTCCAGCAGTATAAACAGGGGTTAAGTGAAAAATGTTTAACAGATGTGGGAACCTAAACTTTGAGAAAAAACAGGTCAATTTGTGCTTAAAATACTTTTTTTATACATTGATCATTATCAGCTATGAACAGCAGTAAGTTTCAATCTATTCTTTCTCCTGTCAGCCAGTGAAGATGTTTCTATTTCAGTCATCGTGTATGTGATTGACTGAATTATCATTGAATGGCATGTATTACAGAAAGGAATGCAGTTTTTGGAATATACTCAGGAATATGGAGAACCAAAATAGACCATTGCAGTTCATCTGGCTAGTCTAAAAATATCAACATATATCAAATATAAAAATAAATAAAACTAACTAATCCTATACTGTCGTCAAATGACCTATTTGACAAATAGCTGCTATATATACTCATATGGCAGAAATTATTTTGTTTGTTTTTTGCCAACAACCCTTCACTTGAACAACCTGCTGAGCTGCTCGCTCAAACTCAATGAGTCAGAGTGACAACTTGGCTTTCTACTTGATATCCAGCTGTACTGCAAACCCCACATCTGGTTCATTGCTGACACCACTTTCTTCCACTTCCTAAACATCACCCAATATATCCTTATCCCTGAAACCCTCATATCATGTGTTAGTCACTTCAGATAGGCTTTTCTGACTCTCTTCTCACTGGTCTCCTTAACTTTACTCTGAATAAGTTCAAATTCCGACACCGCTTCTCAGCCTGAGTTCTCTCCAGCGCTGGACCGACACACTGATTACTAATCTCTTGCCATACCATTGTAGTAGATACATAGTGGAGGTTACACTATTTCCCTACCGGGCATAAGGATTTTGGTCGCTCTTTTGTGCTCCTTAATACTGATTCCAGAGGGACTGTACAGCTGGCCTTCCTTCCTGGCTGGGGAATAATACTGTACAGGGAAACCAGAAAGGAAGGAGAACATTTCATTTAAAATAAATCTTCTTTTGTTTCAAAAATGAAAAGGCAAAGTTCTGAGATGTGTTGATCTGCAGAAATTGATGATTATTTAGATGGTACCTTTTTGAAGTCTCGCTTAATGGCTCACCCTAAGTTACAAAATATTTTATTTGTGTTGAAAGTTAATTTGGTCACTCAATCCACGTCTGTGTGTGGGACACTGCTGTGCGCAATTGGCTGCTGCATTTCGCCCACAAAATTTACAGTCAATTCACTTCATACTATATTCTGTGAGTCTAGAAGATGTGAAAAGCGCTATATGAAATGCAACAATTATTATATTATGAACAATTGTAGACGACACAATCATGAAATATTATGTTCTCAGTAGGAATTTTTTACGTAGTTTATCCTTCATAAAGGATTATTGGATATAAATAATTAAAAAAGTTCTAAACATTGAAATGTATATGGAGGGGTGTGGGTCCTAAAATGCAGGGTAGCTAATGGAATTCCTTAATATGGAATCTGAGTTGCACAAATGAGAATTTCTTCTGGTAACTGGAACTACATTACACCAACCTGAGGAAACTCTTAACACAATCTACCTTCTGAGCAGAGTTCATACAGTCAGCAAAATTTCTAATGGGATTCCTCATTAAGGAATCTTGTTGTAATATACTGTGTTATACCTCAAAAAATTTCTAACACATTCACTTTATAAAGTGAGAAGATTGACTTGAAATGCTAAGCTACGCATTACAATTTTGTGTTATGTAATGCATTGGAGCTGTAACAAAGGATCTCACATTCGTATTGTTCAATGAATGAGTTGTATGTAGAACTGGTACATGCTTTCCTATTTAAATATAGGAAGGTTCCAACTGTGTTTGTTAGTCTCAGTAATACTTCACTAGACACGTGTTAAAAATATTATTTTCCCTGTTGCTATGCAGCATGTTTCTTTTGAACTCAGTTCTCACCTCTTAAACCTTTTCAGGTTTATATAATCCTTAAAGAATTATATAACAAAGCACAGTGTGGTGTTTTAGCAAATGCAATTTTTAACTTCTTGCTTTAGATTTAGAATAATAATTTATATTGGGAGCTTGTTTCTCCAGTCTTCTCTTGTTTTCCTTCCTTCCTGAAAGCACTTGACTCTTTTTTTCTTCCGCTAAATACAGTTCTACAGATGCCAGTGCCTTGGCCATGTGGTCATTTTTCAAGTGTGAGCCTCTACTGTGAGGCAGCTGAGCCCAATTCTATCCTCACTGGCATACGCACACACATGATTTACAGCAGGGCGCTGGCTTGTGATCAGGAACAGGAGCCTTGTCAGATTTTGCTCTCTTAACTCATCGGCACCTGAAGCCAATTGTGTCGAGCCTCAGCTGCTGCTCCTATGAAATGAGCTAACTCAGCTCTGACTGGGATTTGAATCGGGGAAATTTCTGGTCGATAAGGCTTAGTGCAGAATGCATTTTACACACACAAACATCTTGGTCTTCGAGAAAGCTCTAGGTGTTTGCAATGCCTATCTATGTTTATCATTGGTCTTCT